CTTCTTCTTCTCCTTCTTCTTCTTCTTCTTCTTCTTCTTCTTCTTCTTCTTCTTCTTCTTCTTCTTCTTCTTCTTCTTCTTCTTCTTCTCTTTCTTCTTCTTCTTCTTCTTCCTCTTCTACTTTTTCTTCTTCTTCTTCTTCTCCTTCTTCTTCTTCCTCTTTTCCTTCTTCTTCTTCTTCTTCTTCTTCTTCTTCTTCTTCTTCTTCTTCTTCCTCTTCTCCTTTTTCTTCTTCTTCTTCTTCCTCTTCTTCTTCTTCTTCTCCTTCTTCTTCTTCTTCTTCCTCTTTTCCTTCTTCTTCTTCTTCTTCTTCCTCTTCTCCTTTTTCTTCTTCTTCTTCTTCCTCTTCTTCCCTACGTCCTCCCTAATCCGACCTTCCTAGACCACGCATTCGTTCTCCTCCGTTCCCCCTTTCCTTCGTCCTCTGTTCCCCCTTTCCTTCGTCCTCTGTTCCTCCTTTCCTTCGTCCTCTGTTCCTCCTTTCCTTCGTCCTCCGTTCCCCCTTTCCTTCGTCCTCCGTTCCTCCTTTCCTTCGTCCTCTGTTCCTCCTTTCCTTCGTCCTCCGTTCCCCCTTTCCTTCGTCCTCCGTTCCTCCTTTCCTTCGTCCTCCGTTCCTCCTTTCCTTCGTCCTCCGTTCCTCCTTTCCTTCGTCCTCTGTTCCTCCTTTCCTTCGTCCTCTGTTCCTCCTTTCCTTCGTCCTCTGTTCCTCCTTTCCTTCGTCCTCGTTCCCCCTTTCCTTCGTCCTCCGTTCCCCCTTTCCTTCGTCCTCCGTTCCCTCTTTCCTTCGTCCTCTGTTCCCCCTTCCCTTCGTCCTCCGTTCCTCCTTTCCTTCGTCCTCCGTTCCCCCTTTCCTTCGTCCTCCGTTCCCTCTTTCCTTCGTCCTCCGTTCCCTCTTTCCTTCGTCCTCCGTTCCCTCTTTCCTTCGTCCTCCGTTCCCCCTTTCCTTCGTCCTCCGTTCCCTCTTTCCTTCGTCCTCCGTTCCCCCTTTCCTTCGTCCTCCGTTCCCTCTTTCCTTCGTCCTCCGTTCCCCCTTTCCTTCGTCCTCCGTTCCCCCTTTCCTTCGTCCTCCGTTCCCCCTTCCCTTCGTTCTCCGTTCCTCCTTTCCTTCGTCCTCCGTTCCCCCTTTCCTTCGTCCTCCGTTCCCCCTTTCCTTCGTCCTCCGTTCCCCCTTTCCTTCGTCCTCCGTTCCCCCTTCCCTTCGTTCTCCGTTCCTCCTTTCTTTCGTCCTCCGTTCCCCCTTTCCTTCGTCCTCCGTTCCCCCTTTCCTTCGTCCTCCGTTCCCTCTTTCCTTCGTCCTCCGTTCCCCCTTCCCTTCGTTCTCCGTTCCTCCTTTCCTTCGTCCTCCGTTCCCCCTTTCCTTCGTCCTCTCTTCCTCCTTTCCTTCGTCTTACGTTCCTCCTTTCCTTCGTCCTCCGTTCCCCCTTTCCTTCGTCCTCTGTTCCCCCTTTCCTTCGTCCTCCGTTCCCCCTTTCCTTCCTTCGTCCTCCGTTCCCCCTTTCCTTCGTCCTCCGTTCCCTCTTTCCTTCGTCCTCCGTTCCCCCTTTCCTTCGTCCTCTGTTCCTCCTTTCCTTCGTCCTCTGTTCCCCCTTTCCTTCGTCCTCTGTTCCTCCTTTCCTTCGTCCTCCGTTCCTCCTTTCCTTCGTCCTCTGTTCCCCCTTTCCTTCGTCCTCCGTTCCTCCTTTCCTTCGTCCTCTGTTCCCCCTTTCCTTCGGCGTTCCTCCGTCCTTCGTCTTCTGTTCCTCCTTTCCTTCGTCCTCTGTTCCCCCTTTCCTTCGGCGTTCCTCCGTCCTTCGTCCTCTGTTCCCCCTTTCCTTCGGCGTTCCTCCGTCCTTCGTCCTCTGTTCCCCCTTTCCTTCGTCCTCTGTTCCCTTTTTCCTTCGTCCTCTGTTCCCCCTTTCCTTCGGCGTTCCTCCGTCCTTCGTGCAAGCATATCGTAAATTGCTCTTCCACGAGGCCCTTGACCGCCTCGCCTTTGCAATGGTCTTCGCTGAGGTTTCTGCTTCTCCTTCTCTCGTCTCTTTCTCTGTCTCTCTGCCTCTTTTTTCCTGCCTCGGTCTCTGTCTCTTTCTTTCTGTATCTTTCTTTTTTTTCTGTCTTCCTCTTTCTGTTTCTTCCTTTCTGTCTCTGTTTCTTTCTTTCTGTCTCTCTGCCTCTTTTTTCTGTCTCTGTCTCTGTCTCTTTCTTTCTGTCTCTCTGCCTCTTTTTTCCTGTCTCTCTCTCTGTCTCTTTCTTTCTGTCTCTTTCTTTTTTTTCTGTCTTCCTGTCTCTGTTTCTTTCTTTCTGTCTCTCTGTTTCTTTCTTTCTGTCTCTCTGCCTCTTTTATTCTGTCTCTGTCTCTTTCTTTTTTTCTGTCTTCCTGTCTCTGTTTCTTTCTTTCTGTCTCTCTGTTTCTTTCTTTCTGTCTCTCTATCTCTTTTTTTCTGTCTCTGTCTCTGTCTCTTTCTTTTTTTCTGTCTTCCTATCTCTGTTTCTTTCTTTCTGTCTCTCTGTTTCTTCCTGTCTTCCTATCTCTGTTTCTTTCTTCCTGTCTCTGTTTCTTTCTTTCTGTCTCTCTGTTTCTTTCTTTCTGTCTCTCTGTCTCTTTCTCTGTCTCTGTCTCTTTCTTTCTGTCTCTCTGTCTCTTTCTTTCTGTCTCTCTGTCTCTTTCTTTCTGTCTCTCTGTCTCTTTCTTTCTGTCTCTCTGGTTCTTTCTTTCTGTCTCTCTGTTTCTTTCTTTCTGTCTCTCTTTTCTTTCTTTCTGTCTCTCTGTCTCTTTTTTCTGTCTCTGTCTCTTTCTTTCTGTCCCTCTGGTTCTGTCTCTTTCTTTCTCTCTCTTTCTCTCTTTCTTTCTCTGTCTATCTGTTTCTTTCTTTCTGTCTCTCTGTTTCTATCTTTCTGTCTCTCTGTTTCTTTCTTTCCGTCTCTCTGTCTCTGTCTTTCTGGCTCTCTGTCTCTGTCTCTTTCCTCTCTGTCTCTCTATTTCTTTCTCGCTTTCCTGTGCTGTTTTTCTTTTTTCTTGTTCTTTCTCTTGTTCTTACTCTTTCTTTTTTTCTCTCTCTCGTCTCGCTTCCTGCCTATCTATCAACCTATCTATCTATCTATCTATCTTTGTGTGTCTCTCTGCCTCTTTCTATGTCTCTCTGTCTCTGTATCTTTCTTTCTGTCTCTCTGTCTCTTTTTTCTGTCTCTGTCTCTGTCTCTTTCTTTCTGTCTCTCTGTCTCTTTTTTCTGTCTCTGTCTCTGCCTCTTTCTTTCTGCCTTTTTCTTTTTTCTGTCTCTCTGTCTGTCTCTTTCTTTCTGTCTCTCTGTCTCTTTCTGTCTCTCTGTCTCTTTCTTTCTGTCTCTCTGTCTCTTTCTTTCTGTCTCTCTGTCTCTTTCTTTCTGTCTCTCTGTCTCTTTCTTTCTGTCTCTCTGTCTCTTTATTTCTGTCTCTCTGTCTCTTTCTTTCTGTCTCTGTTTCTTTCTTTGTCTCTCTGTCTCTTTCTTTCTGTCTCTCTGTCTCTGTCTCTGTCTTTCTGTGTCTCTGTCTCTTTATTTCTGCCTCTCTGTCTCTTTCTTTCTGTCTCTGTTTCTTTTTTTCTGTCTGTTTCTTTCTTTGTCTCTCTGTCTCTTTCTTTCTGTCTCTCTGTCTCTTTCTTTCTCTGTCTCTCTGTTTCTTTCTCGCTTTCCTGTGCTGTTTTTCTTTTTTCTTGTTCTTTCTCTTGTTTTTACTCTTTCTTTTTTTCTCTCTCTCGTCTCGCTTCCTGCCTCTCTATCTACCTATCTATCTGTCTATCTATCTTTGTTTGTCTCTCTGTCTCTTTCTCTGTCTCTCTCTCTCTCTCTCTCTATCTATCTATCTATCTATCTATCTATCTATTTATCTCTCTCTCTCTCTCTCTCTCTCTCTCTCTCTCTCTCTCTCTCTCTCTCTCTCTCTCTCTCTCTCTCCTCTTCTTCTTCTTCTTCTTCCTCTTCCTTCATCTCTACCTCTCCTCTTGCCCTCTCGTTCCCTCTCACCCTTTCTCACCGTTAGTATGCAAATCGTGGGAAGCCGTGGGTTAACCTGCCTTGTTATTATTGTTGAGTGTGGGCATCTCTCCCCTCCCCCCCCCCACTCTCCCACCCTCTCCCCGTCCTTTCCTTGTCTTCTCACTTCGCTCCATCTCTCTTATTCGTCATTCCTTTCTTTTCTTGTCTTGTCTCTTTATTTCATTTAATTCCCCTTTCTTTCTTTTTTTTATCGTTTTCACCTTCTTCCTTCCTTCCATGCTCTCTCCTTTAACGATCTTTCTCGCTTTCCTTTCTTTCTCTCTTTCTATAAGACCTAAATCTTCCATCTTATCTTATTTTCTTCGCCCATTCTTTTTCTCTCGTCTCCTTCTCTTCCTTCCCTTTCTCCCTGTTTCCTTTCTTTTCCCTTTCCATGCATCTTCCGACAGTTTTTTCACTCGTCTCCTCTTCCTTCCCTTTCTCCCTACTCCCTTTCTATTCCTTTTCTCTTTCCTTTCTCCCGACAGTTGAAACTACACATGGTTCAAATTTCCCGCCAAAATTTTTAAAAGTTTATAATCTACTCAAAAAACACTTTATCTAGATTAATTTCATTGTTTAAGTAATTCATTTAGCATCCATTGATTTCGTAATTAATAAATCTGTTGATTCTCTATTGATTTTGAATATTTCAATATCATAAACAGAAAGACCGTCTCTCCTTAATTTTCAATACGCACGTTGTCGCTGCCGATCTTGTTTAATATTTTGATATATCTTTTTTTTTGCATATTCCCCCTCTCCCTTCCCCCCCTTCCCTCCCCCACCCCCAATCCCCACTCCCATTCCCTTTCCCACCCCCTTCCCCTCCCTTCCCCTTCCTTCCCTCCCCCCTCTCCACCCACCCCTCCTTTCCTTCCCTCCCCCCTTTCCACCCTCCCCACCCCTTCATCCCCATCCCCTCTCCCTCCCCCTTTCCACCCTCCCCACCCCTTCATCCCCATCCCCTCTCCCTCCCCCTTTCCCACCTCCCCCCCCCTCATCCTCACCTCCCTCTCCGCCATCTTGTCCTGCTCCACGCGGTCGAGGTCGTCCAGCAGCGCCTCCAGGTAAGACAGGCTGATGAACTTCTGGACGAACGTCTCGTACTGCTTCTTGAGGTCGTGCTCCAGCTTCTCGTACTCGTCCATGAAGGCCGGTCTGTTTCGAGGGCGAGGGGGGAAGAAGGTTAGAGTTATTTTTATTTGCGTTTTTTTTGTTTGTTTTTGTTTTTTGTTTTTGCGTTTGGAGTAATATGTGTGGTAGGGAGAGAGGGAGGGAGGGAGGGAGAGAGAGAGAGAGAGAGAGAGAGAGAGAGAGAGAGAGAGAGAGAGAGAGAGAGAGAGAGAGAGAGAGAGAGAGAGAGAGAGAGAGAGAGAGAGAGAGAGAGAGAGAGTGTGTATGTGTATGTATATGCATGTGCCTGTGCATCTGTGCGTAGTGTATGCCTATGTATGCGCATATACGAGAGCCCATAATCCCAACCCACCGCGCCCATTATCCCAAGACGCAGACCCCAAGAGCTTCTTCACCTGACTTTCTTGAGCGTGAGCAGCCTCTTCTGCCCTCGCTCGAGTCCCGTCTTCTTCTTCTCGATCTTGGCCTCGAGATTGGCCTCGTCCGATCCCACGTTCTCTATGGCTGTCTGATTCTTCTTGACCTCGTCCTCGCAAGCGC